TATTTCCTGATACAGAAAACCATGGAATTCAATAGGGTGTCCTAACTTTTTCACATGACTGTATAGTGCGTGTGTGTGTATATATATATATATACTGTATATATATTAGGGATGTAACGATGCACCGCGAGCCGGTTGAAAATCGATACAAATGTGATGATTCAAATCGGTTGAGATATTAAACGAATCGTGATACAGTTGGGGTTAGGAGTTTATTTGAATGGGTCTCTGAGGGGAACTGTCTGTCTTTAGGAAATAATATTTGATATTTTCTTTTCATGTTGACTCTGTATAATGCATATTAAACATTCTATAGTCTTTGGCTACGTTCACACTGTCAATTTTTGGGACTGACAACCGCATTTACTTACAGGTGTGAGTCTCGAAATGTCACGTTCACACAGCAACTTACAGTAGCTTCTTGGATACTGTTTCTGTCTCATTCAGATGTTTTATACAGCATCATTTCACAAAGTTAAAGTCTTATTTGAGTTAAGTGAATCGTTACATCCCTGTATGTATACATGTATATATACATATGTGTGTGTGTGTGTGTGTGTGTGTGTGTATATATATATATATATATATATATATATATATAAATGTATATATGTATAATGTATGTATATATGTATGCATATTCTATCTGCTAAGACCTCCTGAAGATGGTGTGTTCAATGAAGTTCATTTTCAGAGTGTGACTTGTTTAATATCACAGTGATAATTATTACCATGCTCGTATTATACTGGTTAATGGCCATAGTGTCTCATTTTCCATATTTAATCTTTTGTGTCTATCTCCTGTGGTCTGACACTCTGCGACTCAGGCAGGCCGGGATCTGTCTAGAAATGAACCCGATAATGACGATAAGGTGATACATGTATACATGTATATATATATATGTGTGTGTGTGTGTGTGTGTGTGTGTGTATATATATATATATATATATATATATATATATAAATGTATATATGTATAATGTATGTATATATGTATGCATATTCTATCTGCTAAGACCTCCTGAAGATGGTGTGTTCAATGAAGTTCATTTTCAGAGTGTGACTTGTTTAATATCACAGTGATAATTATTACCATGCTCGTATTATACTGGTTAATGGCCATAGTGTCTCATTTTCCATATTTAATCTTTTGTGTCTATCTCCTGTGGTCTGACACTCTGCGACTCAGGCAGGCCGGGATCTGTCTAGAAATGAACCCGATAATGACGATAAGGTGAGTTATTAGGGCCAGGAAAATTATTAGAAAAACTGGATAGAGCTGGTGAATTAGGGACCCTCTGAGCATCACTTTGTGCTCCCAAATGACCATTCTCGGTTTTTACAATGATCTTTTAGAGGGTGTCATCCAAGCTGTGAACAGAGCTAATTCCAGTGTCACGGTGCTCAAGAGCACCAAGGGTACACTGCACAATGTGAAGGACAAGTACAGGCAAATTCACCAGGACCGGAAAGCCCAGTCTAATCTTAGCGGTGCCCTTTTGGGTTGTTAGAAGATTTTTCACATACTCGGGCTGAGAAGTTATAATTAGCTGTGGTGACTTGGACTTAGAAAGGAAGCTGCCGTCTACCGAGTAGGTTTTTAATGAACAGTTTGGGTAACGATTCCTGTTTAAGTCAAACATTTGGGGTAAATACCTTTTTTTTTTTTAATTAAGGATGCATTAAAAGTGACAGTAAAGATATTTGTAATTTTACAAATTAATTATATTTCAAATAAATGCTGGTCGAAGAACTTTCTATTCATCAAAGAATCCTGAAAAAAAATTGTATCAAGGTTTCCACAAAAATATTAAACAGCAAAATCTTGTTTTTGTAACAATGATAATAATAAGAACTATTATTAATAATTGGGCACCAATAATGAGACACAGTATTAAGTATAAAATATAAAATTTTAAATGGGGTCATTTTTAAAGAATTCAGTTATTATTTTGTCTTGTGGAGTATATATAAACATCTGTTATGTGAAATAGCTTATTCATGAGAGTACTAAATAAAAATAACATGCAATTTTAATGATCCCTCTTATTTAGTTAAAATTATTAACATATTTGCATATTGTGCAAGGGGTATGCAATCTTATGAGCACAACTGTATATATATATATATATTACATACAGTAAATGTACGTAAATATTACATTTTTTTCCTTTGCTGAATTTATATTAAATCTAATATTTTTGGTTTTGTTACAGTGTTAGTGATGGGCTCTTTCTCACTATCACTTACTCTCTCTCTTTTACTGTACATATCATTGCGTAGTCCTGTCTTCTTTCAATAAAACCCCTTTCGTCTGAAACATTTTACTGAACAAAAATCCTGAAGCTCGGCTAACAATCCCTCTGGACCCAATTTAGAAACTAATTCAGGCAAATGCGATTTAAGAGGCTTTCCGTGGAAAGATATGCTTCAGCTTTGTTGAGATTTCAAACTGTTTGGAGAGCCTGGAAGCAAATTCTACTACTGGAAGTTCACCCCCACATATCAAATATTTGACGTATTAGTGCCAAAACTGTTTATTGTTTTTCAGTGATATACAATGGTGCACACTCTTTTTTAATAAGTGATTTATAAAGAGATACAATTATATGTATTATATATAGCATGGATTATAATATTTTTCTTTGCCATTTTAATTTTTCTATCTACTAACACCTGCTGTAGACGGTGTGTTCAATGAAAAGTTAATTTTCAGAGTGTGACTTGTTTAATATCACCATGCTATTTATTACCATGCTCATATTATACTAGTTAATGGCCATAGTGTCTCATTTTCCATTTTTCATCTTTTGTGTCTGTCTCCTGTGGTCTGACACTCTTAGACTCAGGCAGGCCAGGATCTGTCTAGAACTGAACCCGATAATGACAATAAGGTGAGTTATTAAAGCCAGGAAAGTGATTAGGAAAAGTGGATAGTGCTGGTGAATTAGGGACTCGCTGAGCATCACGTTCTGCTCCCAAATGACCATTCTCGGATGTGACAATGATCTTTTAGAGGGTGTCATTCAAGCTGTGAACAGAGCTAATTCCAGTGTCACGGTGCTCAAGAGCACCAAGGGTACACTGCACAATGTGAAGGACAAGTACAGGCAAATTCACCAGGACCGGAAAGCCCAGTCTAATCTTAGCGGTGCCCTTTTGGGTTGTTAGAAGATTTTTCACATACTCGGGCTGAGAAGTTATAATTAGCTGTGGTGACTTGGACTTAGAAAGGAAGCTGCCGTCTACCGAGTAGGTTTTTAATGAACAGTTTGGGTAACGATTCCTGTTTAAGTCAAACATTTGGGGTAAATACCTTTTTTTTTTTTAATTAAGGATGCATTAAAAGTGACAGTAAAGATATTTGTAATTTTACAAATTAATTATATTTCAAATAAATGCTGGTCGAAGAACTTTCTATTCATCAAAGAATCCTGAAAAAAAATTGTATCAAGGTTTCCACAAAAATATTAAACAGCAAAATCTTGTTTTTGTAACAATGATAATAATAAGAACTATTATTAATAATTGGGCACCAATAATGATTGAGCACCAAAATTCAGATTTGCCATCTTATACATATATCTCACAAATGTTCATTTTTATTTCTTTTATGTGTTTCTTAAAGAAGAAGCCTGATATTTTATATGTACCTCTATTGCAACAATTCTGAAAGTAAGCCTAGAAAAATATTGCATTTGCATTTGCATTTACATTTACATTTTACATTTAGTCATTTAGTCATTTAGCAGACACTTTTATCCAAAGCGACTTACAAATGAGGACAATGGAAGTAATCAAAATCAACAAAAGAGCAATGATATACAAGTGCTATAACGGGTCTCAGTAAGCTTAACGCAGTACACGTAGCAAGCCATTTAAACTGCCATTTTCCAGCTTATTTTTAATAATAATTTACACTTTTAAAAATTCCAAGTGTTGGCTTTCACAGCAGTGTCATGAAGGAACCATTTTCTCTTCCTCAAAGAACCTTTAATTAAACAGTTCTTAAAAAGACCACTTTTTCCTTAGCATGAAGAATATTTTTATAATCTGAAGCTAAACCTATTAAGAGCCTTTTGTGCAATGGAAAGTTTCTATGGTTCACACAAAAATGAAATTTTGCTGAAAATGTATTCATCCTCAGGCCATCATCCAAGATGTTGATGAGTTTGTTTCTTCGTCAGAAGATTTGGAGAAATTTAGCATTACATCACTTGCTCACCAACTGATCATCTGCATTGAATGGGTGCCATCAAAATGAGAGTCCAAACAGCTGATAAAACCATCACAGTAATCCACACCTGTGTGTTTGTAAAAAATGCATCAAGTTTTTAATTCAAACTGTTATTTCCAGCTAAAACAGGAGTCTTTTATCTCTAATACTGCTTTCTCCAGTGAAAACCGTCCAAAATGGTTCTGAACAAACGTGTGGGTGGATTTTGATGTGAGAGGACAAAAGGGCGATGGACTTTCACTGGAAGAAGTGGTACTGTGGACTATGGGCTGGCATTTTGGCCAGCTACAGTTGGTTTGAAGTTAAAACGCCTTAATGATGGATTTGTTTCTTACAAACATGGAGCTTTTCACTTCACAAGACATTAACTGATGGACTGGAGTGGTGTGGAATACTTGTGAATTATTGTAATGTTTTAATCAGCTGTTTAGACTCTTATTCTGACGGCACCCATTCACTGCAAAGGATCCATTGGTGAGCAAAAGATGTAATATAAAATTTTTCCAAATCTGTTCCAATGAAGAAGCAAACTCATCTACATCTAGGATGGCCTGGAGATAAGAAAGTTCTAACTAAATTTCTCAGTATGGTCACTCAGAATTATTCCTAATAATGTTGAAGGATCTTCATGAGTAGAATTGTAGAACTATGTTGGCACAATATGAAGATTTCCTTATATTAAAAAAATGTGGCCTAGAGGGATTCTGTGTTATGGGGGCAAAGTCTTAATTGATTAACCTGTTAATATATGTTATGTTCCAGGTGAGCCAGAGGAAAAGTCGATCCCAGTGATCCAGGAAGTGGTTGAAGAGAGCAGGGACGTGGTAGAGGCCTCAGCCCCATTGCTGGAAAGCTCTCAGCCGAGCCTGGGTGAGGAAGAGGGTCAACGTGAAGATGGGGACCAAGGGGGCAAGGGGTCCAGTGAGTCTGTAGGCAGTGGCTCTTCCTTTGAAGAGCTGGACGTGGAAGTGGAAGAGGAGAAGGGGGAGAAGAAAAACAAAGTAGAGGAGGAAGACCATAATGGACAGCAGAAGCCTGTGATGGGAGAAACAATCGGGAACAGGGAGGAGTGAAGGATAAAGGAGATTAGAGGGAATGTGTGTGAATGATGAGCGCATATGTGAGTGCGGGTGCATGTGTGAGAGGGAGAAAGTTTGTCTGTGTCTTTGAAATCATCAAAGGCTTTTTTTTCTAAGTCTTTGAAATTAACATCCCTAAATACCCGAAAAGTTACTTCTTTGTTATCAGCAAACAAGCAATTATCTCTTTCAGAACCTTTTATTAAGACTTAATGAAATGCACATTATTCTTTGGCTTTGTATTTATTTCCGAGAAAACTAATTGTATATGTTGCTGTCTTCCCACGGTAATCATAAACTACATTCAGGCAGCAAGTAAATCAGGCACATTCTGAAAATGAGGTAAAACTGTTAATGCAACTAAATGGGGCTTAATCAGACATTTTATTTCATTAACATTTTCTACAGCTTAACTGTTCAGTAGTGTTTGCTTCAAAACATGAATAATTCATTCCAAATGCAGTCTGTTGCTGTAGAATAGAACTGAAAAAGAGTGAGAATAAAGTGCATGTTGTTAATGATTGGAGTTTGTTAATGTGACTATTTTTGTGCCTCCTGCATGCAATTGATTTATTGTTTTTTTATCAAATAAAAAATCAATACAAACAAAGAAATTAAGTATACAGGAAATATTCAAGTAAATCAGTATATTTTCTCTTTTTTCCCCATGTATTTTTCTATTTTTCTGTCATTTTTCATAACCTAATTAGGAGAGAAACAGGGTTTTCAGCATGAGGAACGTTGTTTGTTTTGGATTATATTTTTCTTACTGTATCAGAATGTTGTATCATACTGCTATTTCATCTTTTGATACTGACAATTACTCATGTTCAGCAGGTCATTTGATCAGTCTTTTACATTGTGATTCTGCAAGAAAGTATAAAGTATGTGTAAGGCAAATGGGGATGTGTTTGTGGTTTGTGTTCACTTTAACATCTACTGCAACCTTCTTACTGAACAAAGATATGAAATATGCACACTATCATTCAAAAGTTTGTGGTCTGTAAGATTTCTTTTATGATTTTAAAAGTTGTCTCTTAAGCTCACCAGTGCTGCATTTATTTGATCAAAAAGTAAAGTAAAAACAGTAATATTGTGAAGCATTATAACAATTTTAAATAACTGTTTTCTGTTTTAGTAATATATATATAGAGAGAGAGAGAGAGAGAATTTATTCCTGTTATGGCAAAGCTGAATTTTCAGCAGCCATTACTCCAGTCTTCAGTGTCACATGATACGTCAGAAATTATTATATAATTATATACTTATCTGGTGCTAAAAAAATGGTTGTGCTGCTTAATATTTTTGGTGGAAATCATAATATATATATATATATATATATATATATATATATATATATATACACTGTATATTTATTCTTTAGTGATTAGAAAGTTCAAAGAAAATCATTTATTAAAAAAAATAGTTTGCAACATTGTAAATGTCTTTAAATTAAAGTATTAATTTCTCTCTTTTTCTTTCTTTTTCAAAAAAAATATTTTTGATACCAACCTTTTGAACAGTCGTGTGTGTAGAGAGAGCGAGAGTGTAAAGTTACATCTGTTTAGATGATGTGTTTGCCATGGACAATACAGATCAATACAAGTGCCTTATCCTAAATCTCCGGCAGGTTCTCTAACTTCTGAACACTTTGTCACAGGATTGCTGTGAGCTTAGTGAAGCACAGAAAAGGAGGAGCATTGGAGTTATGCTTTTTTTTTTAACCTTGCAATAGTGCTGCTGTAATGAACAACAACCCGAGGCTGAATCTTATGTATACTTATACTCACCACAGTAGCAGTATTACCTGCATGATATTGTTTAATTTGAGTTTGGTTAGTTTTTAAATTCAAAGGAGTACTCAGTCCCTGTCGTTTTCCAAGATGTTAGGTAGAATGACAGCTTCAGTTACTATTCACTTTTATTGTATGAAAAAAGAAGCCATGAAAGTGAATGCTGACTGAGGCTGTCAGTCCCTAACATTTCTGCCTTGCATCTCCTTTCCTGTTCCACAGAAGAAAGAAATTGTTTGGGGTTCGGAGCAACATGATGGTGAGTAGATAACTGAACTTCCATTTTTGGGTCAACTTTTTCATTAAATGGTCTGACTTTGCTCACTGCACAGTATGTTCTTTTGTATATCAATGTATTATTGACTAACTCTGTCACTTACAATGCAACGTGTTTAGGATCCATCGAGGAATATGCCATCTGTAAGTAATCTTTTTTTTTTAAGACGTTGGTGATTTCGCAAGCATATAGTTTCTTGCAAGTTATAAAACGTTGATAAGCAAAGATGGGATTTGTATATCAATGTATTATTGACTAACTCTGTCACTTACAATGCAACGTGTTTAGGATCCATCGAGGAATATGCCATCTGTAAGTAATCTTTTTTTTTTTTTAAGACGTTGGTGATTTCGCAAGCATATAGTTTCTTGCAAGTTATAAAACGTTGATAAGCAAAGATGGGGTGTGAGTGGCTCAATGTGTAAAGGGTCAATACACAAACTATGTTCAGTTTGAGAAAATTCTCACGGGAGACCGTGCCCTCGCGCGTGCTTTCCACTCGTGTTGTGTTGAAACTTGTCTATCGACCTGAAATGGGACATTGATCTCATGATGTGTGATTCTGACAAGCCAACCTTAATATATCCCCGTCGCAGACTGGTGCTTGGCCAATTAAACAAAATCGACCCAATCTGACGTCTTTCGGCGTATTTACATAGTCTGTGTCTCGCAGAGCAGTTAGAACAGACCGAGTCAAGTTGTTATCAGCATAGTTGTCTCGACAGTTCAAGATGTGCGGTCAGTGATCGTTTCTGTTACTGGTTAGACATGCCGTTGTAGATGTTTTGTGCCAGTGGTGGGTGAATTGGAAACGCATCTACCATACATGTTCACTTTCGTGTTGTTTTTCAGTTGAAGAAATCCAGTCGATATTTTGAGCTCACCGTTTCAGGGTTAGACATCAAATTAGTGCAAATGCAATCCTATCAGAGCACGCACGCTCGTAGAGCCGTCAATAAGGCATTAGATTTATGCATAACCGCTTATGCTATGACACTTCAATGCATTTCTGTAATACTTAGAAAAGTTGTGTGCATAGTGAAGCGAGTATTATTTGGCGTTTTTAAGTAATTCAGTCGAGGGGGTCCAAAAAAAACCTCAAGGAATCCAATGACACGCGCGCCTCCTTTTCAGCACCACGGACAGTTCCAAGCGCTCAGCGCAAACTTCACCCGCTGATTGAAACCTGGATTCCACTGCTGGAATTCAGCCGTATGTTTTAAATGCAACATTAGAGTAATACGAAACTGTCAGCAAGGATACGAAGAGAATAGAAGGACTTTTACCCGGATGTCTTGGTAGATCCGCCAGGAATCTGTGGATGAGAGGTGAACTGGACAGCTCAGGTAAGATGGTTATCGTCTGATTCTTATCTGTTGATATACATTTCTCATATGTGATTTCTGGAGATCGGTTAGTTCGACAAAAACAGACAGGAATGAACTTAGCGTTGTTAAGGGTTAAAAAGATGTATGGCATTTTGTCACCTAACACGATCAAGAAATATTAATAACAACAACAACAAGCATGACATTGTTTTTCATTTGCACAAGTCTTTCGGGTTAAGACGTTTTCAAAACGGCAACACAAGCGTCACATCAGATGAGCAATCGCACAGGTAACATCTCATCACATCTCGCTTTGAATAGCAAAACACTCCCGCTCCGGGGTGTGTCTGGATAGAAAGCGTGTTCCCAGTACTCCAGCTTTACTTATGTAAAAACCGTGGCTTGTTGCGAGTATGTTCAACAGTCTGTGCCGTGAAAAAGCAGTGGATATATTTAATCAGCTTCAGATGAACATATCACAAGTTTGTTGACGGTTTACGTGACGAATCTTATTAAAAACGACTTTAAAGGCGTTTACGGTTTCATTTCAAAGCTTGTCGACTTTTCCCTCCACCATGAAACTTCGAGTCGTATTATGAAGTCTTACAAATTGTCTAACGTGTTGCTTTATAACAATTTGCATTTGATTTAGAATTAAGACTCTATCAATGATATAGCCTACAATGAATCATAAAGTAAAGCGTATAATGCAATGTCTCTTATTCTGTTGTTCATGTGAGATACGCTATAAACATTTTTATTAAATTTATGTGATATATCATTTGAACAAAATCAGACAGAAGACTCTCTGGCCTTTAGAATATATACATTTTATCCGCAAACAACATCATTTTGCAGGCTATGGCATGGGAACTTATATATATATATATATATATACACACACACACACACTCACGCATGCATGCACACACACAAAGCTACAAATTTGAGTGAAAATCCAATTTTTCAACTAAGCAATCTCTTGATATTTTCTGCAGTTGATTTCACAGGTTTGAAGTGTGGGGAATTTGATTGACTGTTTTAATAGCTGTTTCCTGTCGTCTCCACACTGCACTGGATGGATATCATTAGTTGTCTCTTACTATGATCTGATAATAAGTACCTCACGTGAAAGGGTCAGTAGGCTGATTCTCTTTTAAACTAATATTTACCTTCTAACGCTTTAAAGGAGAACTGGTAAAGTATGTTGCATTATTGATATATTGTCAGATATCATAAGTCATCTCAAGTTGCACTGCAGCCCTTTTTAGTCCCACTGTGACAATATTTTGAGCTGAAAAAGTGTCTGTTCGGAAGTATTTTAACATGTTTTAAAGGCAGTTCTATTGTCCTTTTCTCTCATTCAAACAGCCAAATGTAACAGCAAAGTTCATCCAGAAGTGACAATTCATCATTTGATGAAATCGAGGCTGTGAGGGATAGAAGTGCAGTGTGTTCAGTGTTGTTTAACAACATATGATTTGGCTGACAAACCAACTTTCTGGGGGAAAAAATAATTTGACAAAACTCCATAAAACAGTTGTGAAAGTTAAGAAAATTACATAAGTGGAATGGAAAGTAAATTCTGACACAATGATTTTAAGGGTTCAGAAACGGACTTGAATAGAACTGAATGTCTGACTGAATCTGTCAAAATCCTTCTAGTGGGAAGCAAATGTAAAAGCCTTGTATCAATTGACTTGTTTGCACTTATGCAGGAAGGCTTATAGCATTTACATGTTGTGGTACTCATGAGAAAATCCAGTGTCTTCAGTATTTTAATTGAACATTTCTCATCTGGTAAACACAAGAACAGGTTCTGCACGATCCTCTTCAATAATATCCTCTGTGTCTCAATTGGGCTCAAACTGATGAGCAATATAGACATTGTTTACAATACAGCCGGAGCACATGCCGCTATGTTGAGGGCGGGACGATTAGACGCACGCTAGAGGCGGTTTAGCCAATCACAACACACTGGGCCAGCTAATCAATCAGAGCCCATCGTGTATTTCTGAGGGAGGGGCTTCATAAAGCAGGAAATGATCAGTGCGTTCAGAGGAGAAGGGACAGAGAGGTGTGGAATAAAGGTAAATTATGTGAAAAATAATGCGTGTTTTAACAAACGAAGCATTAACACCCCAAAAACACAATCAAGCCTATAAACCAGTAAACCACCCCTTTAAAACTTTAAGACGATAAACATCTTTCTATCAACAATAGTGCTCACATACTTACATTCTGACTCCACACTTGTTTTCTTCCACAGTTCTTTGCCATTTGCCCCAGGCCTGATTCCTGTTCATGAATCTGGGGCATTTTCAGCACTTTAATATTATACTGCACTCTTCAACAGAACCTCATTTTACTTTTACAGTACTTCTCTCTACCTGTATGTTGTCAGATATTACTTAAAAAGCTTATCATCCAATAAATAAATTATGTTGTGTAGAACAGCGGTCTCAAATAATCTTTATGGTGCTGAGCGGATGCG